ATCCTTCCACCAAAAGCTGGCAGCAGGTTCAGAGACCCAGAGGGTTTGTTACCTACCTATGTGTCATACTGTGGCCTGGCATCACCCTGTCACCCAGTTGAGAGGCCAGGACACTTTGCTCTTGTGTCCAGAGAATGCTTGGAGCTGGTAGGGAAGAGCCTGTTTCCTGATCCCCAGGAAAGGGTATTGGACAAGGTGACCCTGCAAAATTCTCAGCCTTGGCTATGTGACTTCTCAGATCAAAATGCATCTGCTTTGTTTCCATGCCCAATGACTGAACTGTGATGTGTATGCAAAAATCGGGAGAATCCGAGGCCAAAGGAAAAGGTAGAAAATGTGGTACAAAGGCTCAGACACTGAACTGCTCAAAACAAAAGCAGCTGGCCCTCCAAGCTGGAGAAAGATGTGGGAGAGGAGGAAAGAGGGCACAGCCCTGAGAAGCTACATGGATTTCTGTGGGGTTTTTTTGTTTGTTTTATTTTCAGACAGGAAGTTAATGACAGGTGTTCCCATATATGAAGTGGATACTCTTCCCAGTACTCCCCCATTTTGCAGATGGAAAACCTGGACAGTGGTGGGCAGAGAGAGCTGAGATATGACCCAGGTCACTGATTCAGTGACAAAGCAAGGTCATCACATTAACGCTCCAGGGTCCGCATTAGACCAAGAGGAGGTCCCAAGGAGGAGGTGGCTCCAGAGAATTTCAGAAAGCATCCTCCAGCCCCTATTCTACTCTGACCTGCCATTCACTCTTAGAAGATGGAGACCAACAGAGACCTGTGTGCTTTGTTTCCTGGCCCCTCAGCACTTAGCGAGCTGCCTGGCATATTAGAAGATGACTAAATAGTGGTTGGATTGGAATGGTCTGAATGTTAAAAAACAAAACGATCCCCCTTTTTCATATTGTCTCATGGCGCTAAACTTTCTCTCCTCCTGTAAAGTGTTGCCTCCATCATATGCACTGTCTCCACTTGTTGCCTCCCAGGCATCCCGCTGCTCATTCTAGTCTGGCTTCTTCAGTCACCTTGGAAATGAAACTATCCCTTGCCAAGGTCACCAGTGACCCCCTGATGGCTCCAGCCAATGAATTCACTTTGGCCGCCACCTTCCTTGCCATCTTGAAAGCACTTCACATCTCCTTCTAGAAATACTGTAGTCCTTTGGTTTTCAGGGCTTCATACTCCAACGCTTTTCCTCCCACTTGTCTGGCCTCCCTCCTGGGCCATTGGGGTCCACACTCAACACCCTTAATGTTTTTCTGGGGCCTCAAGCAATTCTTATCTCTTCTGCTGCAGCCTGGACTTCCCTCCTCAACTACACTCAAGTGCACTGTACACCACACGTGCAACGTGTCAACTCAAACCTGTGGCCTTTTGCTCCCCTAAACCTGCTTCTCCTCGACTGTGACCCTTCCCAGGGAATAGCCCTACTATCTACTCTACTGTCCGAGCCCCTAAACCTGAGAGTCAACTGACATTACTCACTACCCCTTCCCAATGCAATCAGTCACCATACATGGTTCTACCTCCTGAATAGAGAATTGAGTGTTTTTTCCAATGTGACGCAAAGATCCCCTGCAGAAGAATCAATTGAATGATTTGGCCACAATGCAGATTCATGGCCTAACCGTGGACTCAAGGGTGAGGGTGAGGCCTAGAGATCTGCATTCTAAACAATCAGATGACCCTGTGCCTATGAAAGTTTGAGCCAAATCCTTCTCAACAGTCTATTTTTCTTTATGTCTTCTGTCATCAGCCTCCTCTATCCCATCACCATCTCTTGCCTGGGAGAGAGCAATAACCTGACCTCCCTGACTTCTCTTATTCTTCAGCTTCTGCAGCCTATTTTCCACATGGCCAGCAGAGCATGCCTGGCTATGCCCTCTTGCTCCTTAAGGCACCACTTGGTGGCCTCCCTTATCACTAGGGTAAACATTACAATTCTCAACGCTGCCTAAAGGACATCACATGGGCTGACCTCTATGTGTGTTGCAAATCTCATCTTGCACAGCTCTTTCCCCTCATTCTACCCTGTCTTCTGTTTCCTTAAAACCAAGATGGACTTGCTGAACTCCAGGCCTCTTCACGTGCTGCCCCTCTGCCTTACTGAATTGTCTTCCACAGTCTTTGCTTGGCTGATTCCCACCCATCCTTCACTTTGGTTGGCCATGGTTTCCTCAGGAAGACTTTCTCTGGAAGCTCACAGCCCTAGCCCCCAAGACTTCTGCTAGCATAAAGTTCATTTTATACCATTGCTGCAGCTGTTCTGATGTTTCCCCCACCCAGTCATGCCCAGAGCTCCAGGCAGCCAGGACCTGCATGCTGCAGCTTGTGGAGAACCATGCTCTGCCCCCACCCACACCTGTATGTCCTGTCAGCCCAAGGTGTCACCACCAATTGGCCCACCCATTGGGCTCCTGTGATTCCATGCAACCAGTGTGATATGAAATGTTACCCAGTCTCTATTTTTATAGCTCAGAAATTCTAGTGAAACTGAACCCATCACGTGGTTTGAGCTCTTCAGAGAAAATGTTGAAAGTCAATGTCATTGGAGCTGCCGGTCTTGTGATTCCCCAAAACAAGATATTTTTTTCTATAAAAACAACCTTTGGGACACAAATGTTGTGCCTATTCTTCAGGCTTTGGGTTCTTACATCGTTTTCCACAGAGGAACCCTGGAAGAAGCATTCTGAAGTCCACTTCTCCTCTCCCAACTCACGTCCACTGAGGAGACTTTTGGCAGCTGCCCCAAGTGTGTCCATCATGGCAGGGAAGAAATTGCTTTGAGGCCTGGTTGGAGACTAACAAGGTGCCCCACCCATCTTTGCCATCATCTCAAAGAAGCTATGATTTGACTCTTCAAGCTTTTCAAGAATGTGCATTATGTGCTTAGGTTGGAGGAAGGAGCAACAAAGAGTCCCCCTGCCTTGAGTGGAGCATTATGAGCCAAAATGTATCCCCTAAAATTATTATATTGAAGTTGTAAACCCTCAGGATGTCAACGTGTGACTATATGAGTAATTAAAGAGCAATTAAGTGAAAATGAAGTCAGTGGGGTAGGACTTAATCTAATCTGACTGTTGTCATTATAGGAAGAGGAGATTAGGAGCACCGAAAAGAACAGAGGGAAGATACTGTGAAGCCACACTGAGAAGATGGCCATCTGCAAGCCAAGGAGACAAGCCTCAAAAGAAATAAACTCTGTCAGCACCTTGATCTCAGACTTCCAGCCTCTAGAACCATGAGAAAGCTTCTGTGGTTTAAACCCCCCAGCCTTTAGTATTTTGTTTTGGCAGCCCAAGCAAATTTGCATGGAGCTTGGGCTCTGACTGTAGAAAACAGTCAATCAACACATTTTTTAAAATTGAACACTTACTGTGATCCAGGCACTGTGCAGTGTTGTAGGGCAGAAGTGGTGAGAAAGATTATACATGGTCCCTGCCTGTATACAGTTATGTATAGGGCAGGGAGAGGAAGGGGGCATTCTGGAAGGATATATAGTCCACACAAAACCAATGCAAAGTCACCCTTCCCCAAATGGGACCAGCAGTGTTAGGTGCATGGCCTGGGCTGGGACCATCAGTACAGACCTGAATTCACATGATGGAACCAGGACTTCCTCTCCATGAGCTCTAGGTCAAATGACATGCCTTTGCTGGCTTTGCTTTCCTCTGCTATAAACTAGGGTTAGTTATAAACTTCATGTCAGAAGTTTCTCAAGAGGATTCTGTAGGTCAATGCATATACAAGGCCTGGCATACACTAAGTGCTCAATAAATGCTGGCTATGATCATTTACAATCAAAACTCAGTGATCTTCCCCACTGCCCTTCCATCCTGTCACTCCTTGCAGTCTCAAGCCAGCTGCCATGTGGGAGTGGCAGTGGTGTAGGATGGGAGGCTGAGGAGAGGGCGAGGAGAGGGACCCCATCTTCCCAAGCCACACCCTAGAACCACAGGCTTTGCCTCTCACCTGATCCCCTGTCTCTGGGGGTAGAACCATCTCTCTCTACCATCACCCCATTAAGTCCCTCCCCCTGACTTACCTTCATCATCTTCAAGCAATTCAAGTGCCTTGGCCCCAGAACCTGTGGCCTTATAGTAAATTAGCAAGGGAGGCCCAGTCCATTTTATGGTGGATGAAGGGGACTTTGAAAGCTCAGGGCATCCCTCATGTATTAGCTTCCTTGCATGAGCTAGCTTGGGACCCTAAGTCACTGCCTAGAACATTTGTCTCTGGCAAAACAGCCTAAAATTCAAAACCCATGTTCAGAATATGACCCCATCTATGTGCCTGAAGAACCTTCCTTTGACTTTCCAACATCCCCAGAAGGTTAGCATCACTTAACCCGCAGCTCTCCAAGGCCTCTGGCTGCCTTCCCTGGCATTTGGGCTCCATATTCAACCCTCTAAGGAGGTTCCAAATTTCATTGTCGTTGGTTGTCCCATCACCACTAGGGCCTTCCTGATTAAAGGATGGATTACTTTCATTACTGGGGGTTGATACAACTAGCAGTTGCGACTTCCCAGGGCTATCTCTCTGCATACCCACAGCTGGGAATCTCTGGGAGCTAAGACCATGTCTCCTCTGTGCAAAGGCTGGGCATCATTGCCCTCTGAACAGCCCCTGGCCCTTCCTTAGAACTTAGGAAGCACAACCAGGGCAAGGCCTGAATACTGTACCCCTCCCACTCCTCCTCTCCCAGCTCTGAAACCAAGCAGGGCATCCTTCCAGAAAGGCACACCTCTGTTAGTAAGCAGAAATCATGTGACAAGGAAGTTGCTAGCTGTGATTTGTGACAGATCTTACTAACCTCATCCTAGAAGGATGGGTCAGGAGATCATCTTACACACTGAGGACAAACTTTAGGACCCAGGACATACCTGCTTCCTGCTCCTGGACTGGTTTGGTCTACTTCCTTATCTACAGTCTGATCCAAAACCACCCATACCCCTTGGAAGTTTGAGAGTCAGCAGGGATCCCAGATGGATGAGGACGGGATTCAAGTGGATGCTGTGTGCTCTTTATTATTATTGTTTTCTTGTACAGAAGGAGACAAAATGTAACAGCTAACCTTAACAATTATAAAAAGAAAGAGAAAGAGAGAAATCAGAAGCAAGTTTTCCTGTTGCCACCAGGCTCCAGTGAAAGGCTGACATACCGAATGTACAGATATCCCAGCTGACAAGGGTAAATGCATGAACATGAACATAGTTTAAAGTGGTACCAAAATTCATCCATTTCACAGTAATCATTTCTATAAGCTTGGTTGCACATATCAGGGTTTCCACTGTCACAAATTCACAATGACAGAGTGAAATAGTAGACGTGTTCATGCCTGGGAAAATGGCATCTGTGACGGGAGACGGATTGAGAAGCAAAAGCAGCTGGGGGATTTGTCCCAGTCCTGAAGATCTGTGTTAATGCTGGAGCTGCGGGTGAGTGCAGGGCAGGCACTGTTCAGCGGTCAGATATTAGTACAGTGAAACAACTGTTGAGGCATTGAGCTTGAGAGGGTGTGCTATTTGGATATCTTTGTCAGAGAAATCCTTGCTGGAGAGAGACTCGCTGCCCACAGTCTGGAAGGAAAAGCTCCCACGTTTGAATATTTGGGGGCGAATGATGGAGCGGCCAGTCTGACAGCGAAGCATCTGCTTTACAGAATATTTAGAAAGGTACATCACGTTTATTACTTTCAATTGCAGTCTAGTTCACAAGCTATGTTATTCACAGGATAAATAAAGGAGTAGAGTGAAAGGTTGCAATATCCAACATCCCTGCGATGGAGACAGAATAAGAGATCACCCGGTACATACAAGAAGTGCTGAGCCCCAGAGCTGAAGGCACATGGAGGGATCCTTAATATCTGGAGCCTTTTCTTTGAAAAGGATACTCATTTTAAACTGGATTCCTCTTACACAAAAGACCCTGAACATTGACTAAAGGGAGGAATATTTCAAATATTTTTATGTAGCCAGAATCACAGCTACTGTGAACTGTCTTAAGTTGTGATTTTCTCAAAGTTCTGAAGCAGTGGGCTTCAAATTAATGAGCTTTCAGTATAGTTGCAAGCAGTCTGATTACAGTACTTTTAATTAGCTAATTATTGTGATTACTGTTAGTAGAGTTCAGTGGCGGGGGGCAGGGGCGGGGGCTGTGGTTGTTTCTGAATCGGTGAAGTCCTAAAATGGAGCTTCATTACTTGTCAAGCTGAAAAGCCATCTAGACCAGCAGCTCTGCTGCCAAGATATCCATGTCAGCCTCAACTGTGAGTGTCCACACATGAGACAGCGCACATGCACACTCCTAGAAAGACAAAGCCTCCGTGAGTGAGAAAGACTCTCTCCATGATCTCTCTCTCGGACAAAAGAACAATCTAGAGGCAGTGTTAAATTTTGTTTTTCTTCTTCTCATGGGATGTTATTTGGTTGTCAAAAGATCAACTCTGGCTGGGGGTTGCGAGGCTCCACCCACTGGGAGAAGGGAAGCATCCGGCTCTGACTACTTGACAAAGAAACACCTTCCTGTCCTGAATTCCTCATATTTGGGTTACCAAAAAGGCAGTGTCCAACAGATCAGGCAGACTCCTGTTTTTGGTTGGAAGCACCCTCAGGAATTCACACTCATGGCAGTGGGATGGGAAGTCGAAAGAGAGGTTCCCCCGGGGCCGACTGCTCAGCACTGCGTCTCTGTCAGCCAGGGCTGGATGCAGCTGTGTGGGTGCTGTGCACATGCCAGCCACCTGTGCACCCCACTCCTGCACTTGTGCTTTCATTTTGAAAACCGGAGGCAATGGGGAGCAAGGGAGGGACACGATTTCAATTTTTCTTTTAAAAAATCTTAAAAAGTTTTGGTTGAAAACAAGTGACAGTCACATTTCAAGAAATTGTTAAAGCCTTTTCTTTTTGAAAAATGAAAACATCTACATAACTAGCCCCGCCATACCCAAAGTCAATAGTCACACATCTTTCCACAAAAAGAAAAAAAAAGCATGCCCAGGAGTGTTCAGATTTCTTTCAGCTGCTGACGCCCACAGAATAGAAGCCCAGGCCAGGGGCACTATGCCAAAAGGGCGTGGTGTGAGCGAGAGTTGTGCAGGGCGGGGGCCTGCAGAATGGAGCTGCTATGTCTTCTTCCAAAGCGTTTTACAAGGAGGCAAATGTTGACAACTTTGGGGGTTGGGCGTCCAATAGTTAATGTTACTTTTCCTTGCTCAGGGCCCTGTCCTCAAGCTACCCAGCCCTGGGAGGGGAGGTGACATTTCTCTCTGCAGACCGGATCCCTCCTGGTACAACTACAGCCGCACACCGGCTATTGTTTCAGATAAGCAATAAGAAACGGCAACATGCACACATAGATACACACACACACACACACACACACACACACAAGCCCAAAAACAACAAAAATGTAGCCACAAAAGAGTTAGCATTGTATCAAATCCACCTCCATATGAAGACAAAGTTTGAGAAGATATGCACAGGGCATTTGTAAAAGCCAAATGTGCACCACAAGGAGTGATGCTTGCTGTGTGCTGTACAGTCGTTCATCTACAATGTGCTACAAAAACCATCCAGAGACTGTGGTACAACCCCACCTGGTGGAACACTATGAAGCATCTGAACCGAACTCTACAGGCTGTAAGGAACCACTGTAACTCTTCCCATGGCCTGTCCTCAGCCCCTGACCTTGGGCTTCTTCCTGCTTTCTCCCAGTACTGCCCAGCCACATGATGCCAGAGGCAGCAGGCCTTTCTTGCCAAACACCCTTTGGCTCTGATCAGTGGAGCTCATGTCTGGCTCTGTGCTAACTGAGGAGGAGACATATTAGGATACGGTTTTCCTCACCTGCTCCCAAGTCACACTTGGGTACCTACTTGAAGAAATATTGGGAAAGCCAGGGCTAGCCCTGAGCTTTATTTAGGCTTCCTCAGGCCCCCCAACATGGAAAACACAGGGGCCTTCTAAAGGCTCAGGGGAGGGAAAGACAAAGAAATGAAATGTAGAATGCCACCTGCTCAGCATCTCTGGCCAGGGAGCTCTGAGAAGGGAGGATGAGGGAATGGAAAGGGTCAACTGACAGGAGATTGACTCCCTCATTGAAAACTCAACATCAGAGGCATATGAGGGCCTCAGCTAAGACTGCTCCCTTATAACCTACATCTTTCTAGAAGACTCTTCCTAAGGCAAACCTCCCTGGCTCCCTGGCACTTCAAGCACCTCACAGGTATTTGTTCAGTCAACCTTCAATGGGCCTGTGAAGTAGGGGGAAGGATGGAAAACCCCAGCCACAGGGGCGAGTGGTCCAAGCTGGTGGCCTCACTGGGGTAGGAACACAAGCCTTCTGACTTGAAACAGTCCCAATGTCTGCCTTACAGGGATGTTTCAACAGTGGGTTTTAAACTGCTGTGGTTGCCAATAGACCCAGGCTACGCATTCTGGCGCCACACAAAAATTTGCTACATTTTTTAAAGCACCACAGAGGAAAAGTGGTTTGGCGGTAAGGTCAGGAGGATGGAGACAGAAATAGGGGGAAGTGGTATCAACAGTGTCTTGCAAGGTCACCGACAGTTAAAGAGCAGGTGCCTTCTGCCCCACTGCTGTCCAAAGCCTCACTGAAAACAGACTGGCATCTGGCAACAGCTGAGCAAACCCCAGATAGGCCTTCAAACAAAACCCATGGGCTTTTCCACAAATAAGTGTTTTAAAAGGGACACTTTAGGATCTTCTCCCCAGGTGGGCACCATCATTAAGGAGAAATCCTCAATCTGAATTTCAATTTCAATGCACCATTCACAAAAAGTAGGCTCATGCCAGTGGGTAGTGGTTTGAGCACAGCTGGTCCACATGTCTGGATAGCCAAGCACACTAGAAACTGGATAGCAGAGTCCACGTGGGCCCCTTGGTCAATGTGGAAGAGGAGACTCTGCCACCCAGCCCTCTGGCCCTCATCCTTCACACAGCCTGTCCTCCTTCCAGGAGTGTGGGGGAGGGGGACATCACAGATCCATGTGATGAATTTCCCTTGGCCTCCTATGAATGGCCCGGGTGCTAGAGTTTTGTTCTATTGCGTTCCTTATTTATTTGTCATGATTTTTTTTCATTTTGTTTTCACTCAGTCCTTGTCCATGCCCTCCAAATGTAAGCAAGGACAGAAAACACAGAACTGTGGAGGGAAAGGGGTGCTGAAAGGCTGGCTTCCCTCCCTTACCTCTGTGGCCCAGAGCTCCCTACATAGACAGGCTTCCAGCCAGCCCCGCAGCCCCCAGGCTGGGCCTGTGAACATTCTGGCCACAATCCACTCAACGAAGTGATTCCTTTGGCATAAGAGAAGCCAGTTCCTGATGGGAAGACAGGATGATGGAGGCTTAGGGGGCATCCCAAAGAGTTGGGCACTTTGGCCTTTGGCTCTTCCCGGGGACTTTGACTCATGCATGGTTCCTACTCCCCCTCCCCACCTGTCTCTGACAACTGACTTCCTAAACTTCACGATTAGGGAATTATTTGGCAACGAGGAGGCTAAGGCTGTTTTGTGGTGGCACAGTCTTTAAAAAGTTAAAAAGAAGATAGGAGACCTCAGAAAGAGGCGTTCATCCAGGACAGGGCACAAACGTCCCGCTATTTGTCAGCGCCAGGGTTGGTGGCCACTATCTCCTCGTACTTTGGGGGCGGGTCGCTGTAAGACACGCTGGTCTCCTCACTGCTGCTGTCTTGGGGCGCAGTTACCTCCTCATAGGAGGGGGGTGGAGTAGCGCTGGACAGTCTGGAGAGAGAGAGCTCAGGGAGGTAGAGGGTGCTCTCAAGCCGGACTGTGGTCCTGCCCCCCCGACTGGGCCCCAGCACCACCTGGGGGCTGCTCCCTGCCTCTCGGTGCCCAGAAGGCTCCCCTTGGCTGGTCACAGTACCCCGGTACACCATGACCCGGGGGAGGCTGTGCCCAGCACGACTGGCTAGGTACCGGTTCTGAGCATAGGAGGGATGGTGACGGGTTGCTTTCTGCAGCTGGCACCTCCAGATGATGAACAAGGCAATGACAATCAGCAGTGCCACCCCCAGAAGAGGTACCACCACGTACATGGCATCCGAGCTCTGTGAGGGGTCTCGGACTGAGTAGACTGCATTTGGGTACCCCTTCCAGAACTCCATCTGCAAAACAAAACAGGATACTATGAGAAGCTCAAACTCCAGTTGGGCTCAGAGGCCTTCAGTAAGTCTAGTGCTTCCTCCCCTTCCCCATCTGACTGGTCTCAGAGAGTTACCAGAATGTACCAAGGGCAAAGGACAATGCTCCCAACTGGGGAGGACCCCAAATGAGTCAGGCAATGGGACTGTATAGACTTTATCTGCTCCTCAATGGTCCTAGTGGCTATGCCTTAGGCTGGGTGGCTTTCCTTGCTTCTGATTCGTCTGCATTACCAGGACCTGTTCTTGCTATTTCTGAGGCAACTTCTACTCCCAGAACCAGCCCCAGGGTGGTACATGCCGTTTTCTCTTTGTTCTCAAACACTTCTTTGACCTCCTCATAGCTGCAGATCTCCTCCATGCACTCTCTCTCGATGGTGCCCTGGCGCAGCTCCTCCAGGAACTCATTGGCACGAGGGAATCGTTTCAGGACCGAATGGGCATCCTTGGCCTCCAGAAACACTGAAGAGAGAGCTCTACTAAGGCCTGGAATGGGGAGATGCCCAGGAGCTCCTTCAAACCGGGCCCAGCCCAGCAACTGAAGCATAATTATGCAGGGAAACAAGGCTGAGTGAGCAGCAATACATCAGGCTTCTGACCAAAGGACATGACCAGCCGTTTGTACAAGTGATGGAAGGGCTGACATTTTATTGTGCCATGATACACCTGTCTAGAATACCATGGTCCCAACAAGGGTCAGGGCCCTGGCTACATGGAAGAAAGTGGGAGCCAACTGCCAGGAATGTGCACGTTGCACAGGAACAAGAAAGAGTAAGGATTGTGAGGAGATAATCTTCAGTGACTAAATCTCCAGTTATCTTCTGCATCACCTTGAAAAATGAAAGTTAGACCTATTGCCATGAGAATGTATTCTTCTTTAAGGCCAATACCGGTGGAACGAATAATACCAGATAATCCTAGAAGACTCTACCAGAGTGGTGTTCCTCCGCCTGAATGTCTACCTGTGCCACCAGGTCATCTGGAATCAACAGTCTTGCTCAAGAAAATGTAATGCAAAGCCAGCCTTGGAGCACCTCTGGGGATGGGAAGTAGAAAGGTTCAGATGGAGAGTCTAAGGCTTTACAGATGGGGCACAGACTCCCCCTACAACACTGTCTTTGGGTGGTGGGCATAGCTACTTATTCCAGAGAGAAAGAGACCCAGCTACAACCTGGCTGACCAGAATAGCTTGAGTTCTGCACCCACATAAACCTGACCTGAGACTGTAAATGGTGTGTGCTCCTGGTGTTCAGCTAGAAGTGGGACTTCCTGGCTCCCATGTAAAGCAACTCCTCCTGGATGCCCAGGCTGGTATGTCTTTGCCAGTAGGCAGGTACCCTTCCCCAGGCCCTGTGGCCTGTCACATTAGTGTCACTCAGGAAAGCCTGGGTAGGTACATATCTACAAGTGACATATGCTCCAGAAGGGAGCCAAAGTGTTGAGAGGGCAAAACTGCTACTCAGCCCACTGGAAAATGGCTCCAGGGAAGGCCACCTGGTTGGAGGGGGGGCAGGGAAGCTGGGAAGGATTTGAAACCTGACTCATGAGCCCCTAGGCATGGCCCTCCACTGCTCTCCACATGCCTGGGCCTGGAAAAACTCACCTGCCATGATGCTCCCTCAGCTTCAGGGTCTCACTTTTCTGGAGTAAGAAAAAAAAGCAAAGTTGCAGTGAAACCACATCTAGAAATTGACAGGGCACCCTCTTGGCTCTGGGATGTGCATCCCTCCCACTGGCCTGGTCAAAAGGTCGAAGCAGTACACTGTGGGGTGCATTGTCCTCCATGCTGCCACCCATAGCTTCTGCTGCTTCTCATTCTGCCCCAAGCTTTTCTCTAGAGACCTCCCCAGGCCCAGGAGAGTCCAGAGCAAACCTTTCAGTGTTTTCCCCCAGGAACATATTCTGGGCATCTATAAAACCTAAGGGTTGACTTTTTTCTTCAAAAAAGGAAAGCTCCTACAGGCTGAGGCTCCTCCTTCCTTGCTCACTTCAATGAATCTTTGCAAATTCCAATTGGAAAGGATGTCAGAGACAGATGAGGAAATAAAGCCCAGTGAGACTAGACTCAGGCAAGGTTAAGCAAATCAACAGTGACAGTGGCAGGACCAGAATTTTCAACTAATTTTCATCACAATGGTGAGTCACAGATACCTCCAATGACAAGCATGTTCCCTGAAAACAAAGCTTAACACGGCATCAACCATCTCAAAAGTCACTGCCCTGCTGGGACTAACCCATGGTAACCTTCGGTGGACACATCCTCCGTGCACAACCATGCTGCATTCTTCATATTCCCAGGCATATCCAGAAGGCCCAAACCCAGATGACCCACTGTGTTCATCTTCACTGGACAAGGAAGCAAGATACCTGGAATCTTCTGGAACCGGGCCTCTCTTCCCTCTTTGTATTAATGCTCACAGCAGTGGAGTACCAAGATGTGAATTTAGATGAGCAACACTAAGGCGCTAAGAGTTACCCCTAATGTGAGCTATTGTCCAAAAGCCTTTCTCCTGCTAAGGAGCTATCCAGCCAGTACCTAAACCACAACACACACACCCACTCATACACACATTCTGGAGCCCTCGCTGAACTGTCACATCTGGGAGCAATCACCCTACTGCTCCCCTCCCCAAGCAGAAGCTCTGGTTTTATGACTAACTGAATGCAAGACATAAACTGCAGGACCCAAAGAGCCCTACTTTTTGCCTAGACTGCCAGGAAGTTCAGTGTCACTATTGCCAGTCAAGCACAGGCACCCTGGAAGCCCAGCTGTTAAGCACATATGCTTCTGTCCTGTGATGTGGTATACAGCTTTCTATTTATGTTTTCAATGTCTTATTGTGCATTTATAACATGTTTCCTAATCCTTTTGGGAAACAGGATATAATAAAAAATTTAGGCTGGACATGGTGGCTGATGCCTGTAATCCCAGCACTTTGGGAGGCTGAGGTGGGCCGATCGCCTGAGGTCAGGAGTTTGAGACCAGCTTAGCCAAACTCCTGACCTCAGGTGATCAGCCTGGCGAAACCCCATCTCTACTGAAAATAGAAAAATTAGCTGGGAATGGTGGTTCATGCCTGTAGTCCCATCTACTTAGGAGGTTGAGATAGGAGAATCGCTTGAACCAGAGAGGAGGAGATTGCAGTAAACCAAGATTGCACAACCGCACTCCAGCCTGGGCTACAGAGCCAGACTCCATCAAAAAAAAAAAGGAAAAAGAAATAAAGAAAGAAAAGAAAGAAAAAGAAAAGAAGAGAAAAGAAAAGAAAATTAAGGGGAAAATAGCAAATCTGACATCCATTTGTGGAAACGCCATGTCAAGGGCTTTCTGTTTTGAGCCCTGCCACAATCCCACTCAAAGCTATCAACATGTGAATTTGTCAACAGATGGGCCTGCCTTGTGAGACAGTTGGCCCTCAATGTTTGTCAGAACCAAGATGTAATATGATCTCAAAATTCTGTTTGCATTATGGATGGCTGAGATTCATGTCGTGAGGGTGTGGATGTAGTATGTCTCACGGCAAGGATTTTTTGATTGAAGAAAAATGGCACTGTTGTATCTAGGTTTGAAAAGAATGCATAAGGTCCTAACTAATAAGGAAACAGAAAAATATGTTGCACTGCTTATCAAAGGAAACTACAGTATTTTTTTAACAAATGTGGAAAAATTACATACGTCCACCTTTTGTCCCTCACACATCTAGCTTTGGTCAAAGGTAGCTAGCTGTATGTCACACTTATCATAGACCTGAATACATGCTATCCTGACACACCTGCTAAAGTCATCAGTTCATTTTTAAGCTTTAGTCAAGCCAGGAACCCCCACAAAACAGATCCCACAGCATGGCCCACTCCATTAGCAATTCTGTAGCCACCATCACTGCTGCTGCTGCCTGCCATGAGGCCTCTTCCTCCTCCCTCCCCAAAATGTAGCGCCTGCTTCTTCCCCTATAAATACACCATCAATAGACAGTTACTATGGCAACAACGAGGAAGCAAGCATGAGGGCTCCACGACAGAGAATGATGCTGCAGCCACACATGTATATGTCCCTCCTGCCCCTGGTGGATACTGTAAAGCTGACTGTAGGCAGAAGGAATTTTTAACCCACTCCCCACAGGAACACAGCTGAATCCTGACAGCCTGGAAAGGAAGGAAGGCAGGGAACTGGTCACCACAAAGACCTTGCTTAACTCCACCCCAGACTGAAGCTTCTGAATCTCAGCACTTTGGGACACAACTCCCAAAGTCCCTCACATGAAGCCTGGTGACCACCAGAGCACCTGGTGTCCTAAGACATGGCTTCCAAACCACTTCTCCAAACCCTAGACTTTATTTCCATCCCTCAGAACTGATCTCCAGGAAAAGGGTTCCGTGATCTCCAAATCGCATGACTCATCAACCCACCCAGTGACACGACAACTCCCAAATTATGCTCAAACTCAAACTCTGGGGCCCCCTTGTCCCCTTCCACTCAGGCAAGCCCTGAAAGTGCCGGTCCTCACTCACCTTCGCTGGACACCAGCGCCCTGACCCAACGACACTCTTCTCCCGGGGCTTCTCCCCCCCGCATCACCTTGGCCCGGCCGGGCCTCTAGATCTTCCCTCCCCAACAATGCCTCGCGCCCAGCTCCTTGGCCCTGGACACCGAAACGTGCCCTCAGGACTGGGACACCCAACCCAAATGGCCTCACCGTTCTCCGGGCCCAGGAGGCGGCCGCCCTGTTTGCGTACACAGCCCGCCACCTCGCTGCTGCGCCTCTTCCAGCAGGGCCCCTGTCCCCGCCCACCTGATCCCCATCGGCCAAGCCCCCCGGCCCAGCCCAGTTGTCTCCTCCCTCCCTCCCTCTCCTCCCCGCTGCCCTCCCACCGCCTCGGACACCCAGTCGCCCGCCCTGCCAGGGCCAAAGGGCTCCTGGAACGCCCTCCCCTTGCAACCTGGCGCCCAGGCCCTATCCATTACCTCGGCACCCCCCTGCCTGCCCCTGGTCTTCTCTAGGGGATCCGCAGCTGCCCGCCCCCCACACCCCGCCGCGCCAGGTCTGGCCTCGCGCCCCGCGTCTGGCGCGCCAAGACCGCAGTGCCCAGATCGCCAGGCCGCGATCGTTGCGCTGCCCCGCGCACCGGATCGCCGGGCCGCCTGGCCGAGGGGAGAAAGGAGGGGTGGGGGCGACAGAGTGGGCCGAGGGGGTTGGGAGAGCGGCCGGGTAAGCTGGGCCGGAGGGGCGGCGGCGCGCACCAAGCACTGCGCGCCCGCGCCCCACTCCGCCGGCGCCGCCCCTGCCCCCGCCCGGGCCGCCGGGGGGCGGGGCCTGACCGGCGGGCCCGGGGACACAGAGTACCCTTGACCAAAGCCCTGGTCCAGTCATGACCCAAGGCGTGGGCCCTCGGAAGATAGGGCGCAGCACCGAGCTCGGGCGGCCGCGCCCAAGGCCCGCGCGCCAGGCTTCCCTAAGCAGCCCAACCCCCGTCCTGTCCCCAATCCGGCTCACCTGCCATTCAGGCCAGCCCGGCTCCTGGGGCCGCCGAAAAGAGCGGGGCGCTAGCCTACAGCCAAGGCCTGCCTTGCCAGGGTTCCAATGGGCTCGCAGAAGAAGGGCCGGGTCGAGGCCGCGTTCTGCCAACGACTGGGTGACCTTGGCTTCCTCACTTACCTACCCCCACCCTGACCCGGGAAGACAGGCTTCTCTCCTGCAAAATCCGAGAAATGGGTAGAATTCTGCCTCCCTCGTGAGACTGCAGCGAATTGAAGGAGGAAATGGGTTTGGAAAAGGCTCAGTAAGGGTAGAGGAAGAAATCTTCTGGCATTCAAGGAGCACTAGATGAGGGATCCTTTGGAGGCCGCACTGTGAGAGGTTTACCATGGCAGGACAAGACGCAGAGCAGAGATGAGACTAGGCGACAGGAACCACATGACAAGTCGACTGCTAAGAGAGGGGCAAGAGGGATCAGAGGGGGCTGAGGTTCTGGGTCTAGGAAAGCCTCCCTCTGAAGAGGGGCCAGATGCCCCTGCTGGGTTTTCAGGGTTCCTTTTTGTTCTCTGCACCTCTAGAACACGGCTGGGCACTGGGGTTGGCAACCGCTTCCTCCCTCCACCCCAAGTGATGCCTTTGATGGGAAGAGTCTCAGAAGGTGTTTCCAGAATCACTCACACCCCTATCCCACGCGGGTAATAGCAACCTGCCCTGCCAGGTGGCAGAAGAGGGGTGGGAGAATGCCTTCATAGCCACCGACCTCCCCTCTAATCCCCAGGGCCCAGCTCCCTAGCTCCCTGGATGCCCACCCCTACACTTCTCTCCCAGTATGGTGGTTTTCCCTTCTTCCCTGCTGGCTTGTTTGCTATTCCATGGCTGCAGGAATCTTCCTTGTCCATGCAGATCTTCTACGGACCTCCCCCCAAGCCCCCGGAGCCTGTGGGCCAGAGTTCCACAGGCTCTTCTGGAACTAATCTCCTGAGTTTTCTAGCCCAACAGCATGTTCCCATCCTGATCCTAACACTGTATAGACCCTTGTACACCCAACTGTTGAAAAGGGAGCTCTTCCAGTATGTTCACAAGGGTCTATGGCTTCGGCCCTCCTACTGGCACTCCCAATTGAGCTTCTGGCTCCAGCAACAGGAGGCTGCGTCTACTTACCTCTGCCTTGAATGCCTTTCCTCCCACTGTGGACCTGGTGCACTTGCATTCATTCTTCCCACACAGTGAGCATGCAGGATCCTCCTCCCACCCCAGTTGACCATTCCACTTTCAGCCCTATATGCAGACTATGAGCATGGGGCCTCTGTGGATCACAAGTGTAGGGAGGAGGAAGAGCAGTGCCTCCTACTGCCTGCTGCAACTCTTGGCTGTACTACATGATAGCCTCTATTATCTCCAGCAAGTGATTTGACCTCACTGCATCTTGGTTTCCTCACCTTTCAGATGGGAACGTTGCTAACAGTGCCTGCCTCAAAGCGTTGCTAAGCAGGTAATGGAGCTAATCACATAGAGTGTGCCTGGCGCTTCAGTGTGAGCTTAATGCACATCAGCTGTGGCGTGCATCCACCTACATTTTGTTCATTTGATAGCAAGCTTATGTGCACACTTGCCTCCTCTCTCTTGGGGCCACGGACCTTGTCTCTTCCTGTGTCCCTAGCATCTTGTACAGAGCCTCATCCACAGCTTGTGTTCTCTAGAGCCTTGTAAATCTGAGGCTGGAGGGGCTGGGGCTGAGAGGAGGAGTTGGCGTGAGGGTCAGCTTTAAACTTAGCACCATGATGGCTTCTATTTTCCCAGTGGACACCAAAGGCAGCTCTGACTGCTGGTTCCTCCCTGTGGGAAGCCTGGGTCTTGGGGTATCAGCTTTGTCCATACTCTTTGGTTTCCTCAGTGAGAAGGCTTTCTAACTACCCTCAGGATGGCTCCACACACTGCTGAGAACTGATGATTTTAGATTGTGGTCTCAATGGTGCCCCCTGCACCAGTATGTTGAAGGCTTGTCCACTGGCTTCACCACCCGGCCAGGCACCAGATACTTAGATGCCCTCAAGTGGCTTTCCTTTTCCACTCAAATTGCAATGATGTTAGCCTCCCCTAGGCTCCTAGCGTAGCTCTGACCCTCACTATCTAAATGAACCTTCACTTCACTCTCCTGGCCTCCATCACATTCAACATTCACTCTCTTCTTCCCTCTGCATTGCTGAGTGGTTTTCCGAATGCCTATCATGTGTAAGGCACTGCGTTAAGGGTTGTGGAGGGCACAGCTCCAAGAAGTGGGAAAAGACAGATCATAATTCAGTAAAAATTCCCCACACAACGTGAGAGGACAGTTCCTCCATCCCAGAATTGACCCATCTTCTTACCTGTCCCCATTTCTGTTCCAAATCCCATTCGGCAGAGCCTGAGTTGTGGATGTGTGACCCATGGAGTCAGACAGGGCCCTGTGCTTAAGAGGGCTCTGAACACTTGGTTCAAGGCTGCCCTATTACCATCTTGAAATCCTAATGCTTTCTGATCAAGAGGCCTTCATTTTACTTTCAGTGGGTCCCACAAAGTATGTAAGCGATCGTGCCTATGGGTGGCATTTCCAATATCCCCATTTCTATACCAGGAAAAAGAATTCTCAATCACCCACTACTTGTCTGACTCCTCACCTTCTCCCCTCTGCAAGCCTTGGCCAGTTGCCTCTTTCCTAATGTCTTAACACCACCAATTCCATTACCTTCCTCCATATTGTCTCCCCCCAGCCCCATCCGTATGCCTCACCCTTTGGCTGAGAGGAGCACTCTCTGCCAACCTCATCTGCTCCCAGAGCTTCACTCTTTCTGTACCACTCACTCTTTCCAGAATTCTTTTTCTTATTGTACTTTAACTTCTGGGGCACATGTGCAGATCTTGCAGGATTGTTGCATAGGTACACACATGCCATGGGGGTTTGCTCTCTCCATCCCCCATCATCCACATCAGGCATTTCTCCCAGTGTTATCCCTCCCAAACCTATTCATCCCCTGATGTCCCTTCCCCAGACCCCCACCACCCCAACCCCCAACAGACACCAGTGTGTGATGTTCCCCTCCCTGTGTCCATGTGTTCTCATTGTTCAACACCCGCCTATGAGTGAGAACATGCGGTGTTTGATTTTTCTGCTCATGTGTCAGTTAGCTGAGAATGATGGTACCCAGGTTCATCCATGTCCCTACAAAGGATACAAACTCATCGTTTTTGATTGCTGCATAATATTCCATGGTATACATGTGCCACATTTTCCCTGTCCAGTCTATCATCGACGGGCATTTGGGTTGATTCCAGGTCTTTGTTATTGTAAACTGTGCTACAATGAACATTTGTGTGAATGTGTCCTTATAGTAGAACGATTTATAATCCTTTGGATGTATACCCAGTAATGGGATTGCTGGGTCAAATGGAATTTCTGTTTCTAGGTCCTTGAGGAATTGCCACACTGTCTTCCACAATGGTTGAACTAATTTACACTCTCACCAAAAGTGTTCCTATTTCTCCACATCCATTCCAGAATTCTTTATCTGAGCTCTGCTGCCCCCATCCTTTTATGTCCTGACTGAGCCTAAACATTGATCCTTACCCTGTAAGAGACTCATTCCATCTCTGCAACCCAATCAACAAGTTAATCAGGTGTTATGGATTGAATAGTGTCCCTCCCCAAATTCACGTTGAAATCCCAATCCCCAGTACTCCGTAATGTGATCATACTTGGAAGCAGGGCCTTTAAAGAGGTTATTAAAGTAAAATAGTGTCATTAGGCTGAGCCTTAATCTAGTGTGACTAAAGTCCTTATAAGAAGAGGAAATTGGGACGCAGGCATGTACAGAGGGATGACTATGTGGACACACCGGGAGACTGTGTGGCCATCCACAAGCTACCAAGAGAGATTTAGGAGAAAGTGACCTACCCATGCCTTGATCCCAGACCTTCAGCCTCCAGAACTGGAAGACAATACACTTCTGTTATTCAAGTACTTACTTTGTTAACACAGACTGAGCCAACTGCTACATGAAGTATTTATCTAGTGATATACGGATTCTAGGACCTGGGATTACAGAAGCCAACAAAATAAACGAGAACTCCTCTCTCCATGGATATTAGACAAAAAAGTCAAAGATACAGGGTGCAGGATGATGATTGGTGCCATGGAGAAAAGTGAAGCAGCAATTTCGAATAAAGTAGTCAGGGAATGCCCCACTGAGAAGATGGCATTTGAACCAAGATTTGAAAGAGGTGAGGGGCCATCTTATTCCTGATCAGGAAATTCACGAGTGCAAGAGCCCTGGGAGCATGTTCTAGGAGGCTGATGTGCTGAAGTGAAGCAAGTCAGAGAAGATGGGGGTAGGCGATTAGGTCAAAATAAGACGGGGGTAGTGAGAGAGCATGAGGGGCCCTGTAGACCACTGTCAGGACTTTGGCTACTCATCAGAGTCATGTGGAGAGACAGTGAAGATTCTGAGTGAAGGGTAACCACGATCTGATTTCTATTTTACTACCATGATCTGATTTCTATTTTACATCAGGCAATGCAACGGAAGTCATAAGAAGCAGGCATATTCTAGATAGATTTTTATGGAAGACTCATTAGGGTTTGATGCCAGTTTGGACTTGGGCTAGCACAGAGACAGAAATCAATTATGGCAGTAAGGTTCTCAGTCTGGGGAACAGGAAGGATGGAGGTGCTTTAACAGATAAAAACAGTCAGGGAATAGGTTATATAGATGAGTCTGAAGTTCGGGGCAATATCAAGGCTGGAGAGATAATGAGAGAATAAGTAACATTTTATTCGTATTGCAAGTCATGAGGCTGGATCAGATCCACAAGATAGTGATTGTAGAGAAAGCAAAGCAGCCCCAGAAGGAAGCCCCAGGCAGTCCTACATTTAAATGAGGAAAAGCCAGCAAGGGAGCCAGAAAGGAGTGATG